GTGCCCGATGTAAACTGTTCTCCTTCAGGTACTGCATGATGAGACGGATAACATCTGAGGACTCGATTTCGATCGACATTGTAACGTCTTCTCGCAGTCAGTCGTGTCTTCTCGCAGTCAGTCGCCGTTCCACCATTAAATCTCAGTTCACACTGGGGGCCGTGGCGCAACCCATCGGCTGCCATACGCCACTTCCGTCTGCCGCCATACGTCACTTCCGCTCTATGGCCTTCGGTCGCCCATTTGTTTGTTTACGTTATTTGAATTTGAAGCTGAATCATTTACCCCTGAGCCATAAGCTCTTGTTTCTTCTGGGAGATCTTTTCCTTTGGTCGGCGTCCTCTTCTGGTTTAGGAATAACCTGTTCCTTTCTAGTAAGGATCACTTCAATACGGCAGGGGGAGTTGATGGAGGGCTTAATCTGATTACTGTACATGCAATGGTGCATGTTGGGAGCTTTATTCACCTAGAGGTGCCCAATGATCAGATAATCTATATCTAAACCCTTACGTTTCAGCATCACTCTCTGTTTTTAAGCATATGCAGCAAAACTCAGCACTTTTTTGGAACACCGACTGACTATCCAACCCCACTGTTTGGCCTGGGCACACCTACAAACTCTACCATTGTAACATCGAAATGGCACACCCTGCTTTTGCAAAGTGACATCTTTCAGGCACTTGGTGGCTTTCCAGATAGCCATACCCTTTATGGCCTGGGCTGTTTCTCGGGTGTTCTTAAAATGGACCTGGAGATTTGGACCTCTTGATTTGCGTGATTTTGTTGGCTTTTCCGTATCAAGGGAGTAGATAACCATTTTGGGAAATCCTCTGAGGCCCCTCAGAGGAAGAGTCCCATAAAGTTTCATGGTCCCAGAAAACCAACTGATGAACAATATGAGTTGAGCTTGAAAACAGTGATTTTTCAATAATTAATTATGTTGTTTTCATGCAAGCACAATGAAGTGTTATGGAATTTCCATTTTTCTCAATGTAAGCTATTGTTTGTTTAGATTCACACTGCCAAATGCATTTACACAGTAAATAAAACAAAAATAGACATTCCTCTAGCATTCTCTGCTTTCAATGAAGATCTATCTGACATCAGTAATTGTACCCCGGATGTCATGGCTTGTTCTAAACCCAGCTTGAACCTCTATTAAGTCCCTGTCGACATATAATTCCAGCCATTTAAAAATAATCTTCAGAAGATTTTGCTTAAATGTGGTATTCATAATATTGTGATATTATGTCCACATATTGTTGGGTCATCTTTTTGGGGAATGGGAACAAATATGGATCTTTTCCAATCAGTTAGCTAGGTAACTGTCTTCCAAATTTCTTGGCACAGGCTAGTGAACACCTCAATCAAGAAACAGTTGTAAGAACAGAGCAAGGAAACACTGTATGGTTTAAAATCAAGTATATGCATCAGGGTTATATCCTTTCTCCCTACCAGAAGCACAGGCTGCATTTAGAAGGGGTCATACATGGTACTAGGAATATTGTAGCTAACATTAGATGGATCTTGGCTGAAAGCAGGGAGTACCAGAGGAGTGTCTATCTATGTTTCATTGATTATGCAAAGGCATTTGACTGTATGGATCACAACAAACTGTGGCTAGTTCTTGAAGAATGGGAATCCTAGAACATTTGATTATGTTAATGCAAAACCTATACTTGGACCAGGAGGCAGTAGTCAGAACAGAGCAAGGAAACACAGCAAGATTCAAAATTGGGAAGGGTATACGCCAGGGATGTGTCCTATCTCCATTCCTTTTCAATCTTTATGCACAACAGATTATCTGGGAGGCTGGGCTCTATGAGGAGAAATGTGGCATCAGAATTGGAAGACGTCTCATCAACAATCTGCTTTATGCAGATGACACAACCTGCTTGCTGAAATTGAGGAGGACCTGAAGGCTTGCTGCAGAAGGTCAGGGACTGAAGCCTTCAGTGTGGATTGAGGTTCAATATCAAGAAAACAAAAATTCTCACCACTGGGCCAATTGGCAGAATCAGGATGGATGGTGAAAAGACTGAGATTGTTCACAGCTTTTAGTTTGCTTGGCTCCACAGTCAATACTCTTGGTACCAGCAGCCAGGAAATTAAAAGACATATTGTGATGGAAAAGTCTTCTGTTTCTAAAGTACTGGAGAGCAATGATGTCAGTCTGGAGAACTAAGGTGCACCTGATGCAGGCCATGGTCTTTGCAGTCACTTGCTATGCATCAGAGAGCTGGACAATGACTAAGGATAAGAGAAGGAGAATTGATGCCTTTGAGCTGTGGTGTTGGAGAAGAGTATTGAATATACCATAGACTGCTAAGAGAATGAACAGTTTGTCCTGAAGAGGGTGAAGCCAGGCTGCTCCTTGGAGGCAAGAATTCTGAAGTTTACTTTGGGAAGTCTGCTGTCCAGTACCTTTCCAAAATACTAAACAACAATGGTGTCAGTTTAAAGACTAAGATGTGCCTAATTCCAGCTACAGTCTTTTCAATCATTTGCTGTGTATATGAAAGCTGGACAATGAATAAGGATACCAGAAGAAGAACCAATACCTTTGAGTTGTGGTGTTAGAGAAGATCATTGAATAGCTCATGGATTACAAACAGGATGAACAGGTATGTGTTGGGGAAAGTGTTGCCAGAGTGCTTCTTAGAGGCAAGGATGACAAAGCTTACTCTCACATACTTTGGGCATGTTGTTCTAGTCCTTGGAAAGAGACATCATGTTGGAAATGGTAGAAAGTCAGTGAAGAAGAGGAAGACCATCCACTAGATGGACTGACATGATAACTGCAGCAATTGCCTCAAGTACGTCAAGAACTGATGAGAATGGTACAGGAGAGGAGAGGGCTTAGATCTGTTATTCTTAGGGTCTCTGAGTCACACTTGGCTCGATAGCACTTGACAACAACATCAATTATGTTGAGCATCTTTTTGTGTATTGATTGACAATATGTATAACCCTTTTGAAGCAATACCTGTTCAAAATTATTTTCTTTTAAAATTGGGTTATATGCCTATTTATTGAGTTATAATAGTACCTTCTTTACTCCTGGGTACAAATTTTTTATTGGTGACATGTTGTTGTTTTTGTTACGTGCTGTCAAGTCGCTTGCGACTCATAGTGACCCTATGTACAACTGCTCTAAACTCTGCTCTGTCCTGTGCCAATCACACTATCTCCAACATACCCATCCTGTTGGAGACTGCTAGTTCAACCTAGCCGAAGCCATTTTGTAATTCTCTAAGGACATGTCTGGACATGTTGCCCCACCCTGGGAGGATAGGTTTCGGTTTACTGGGAACACCCTGCTAAGTTTCTGTTTACCAAATAACTTTCAGCTTACTAGAAACGACATGTTATTGTCCCCCATTGCGTACTTCTCCTCCCCCATTGTGCTTCTGTATATAAGTTGTGAATGCTTTCAATAAAATCGAGACTTGATCAGAAATTCGACTTGTCTCAGATGCCTTTGTGCCTCATGCCCCCTTTTTTTGTCATTCTTTCCTTCCCAGGGTCCCCGTTGAAAAGATCCCGCAGGCCGGGACAGTTGGCCCCCAACATTGGGGCGACTTGGGCTCGGGAAAGTTTTGACAACCACTGCTTCAGAACAGTAATCAGCTGATCCACGCGAACAAGGAACCACCGTGAGTCAGGGACAGCGAAGAGAAAGGGCTCGAAATGTGCTGCTTTAGTGATGACCCGACTCTGAAGCCCAGCATGAGGTAAAAGGAAGCAAGTGGCGAAAATGGGACAGGAATTAAGTGAACATGAATTGTTCATAAAGGGTATCAAGAATTCCCT